CTTCCTCACACTTATTTGCACTAACTTCACTTCTTCCTCACACGCATTCGCACTAACTTCACTTCTTCCTCACACGCATCCACACTAACTCCACTTCTTCCTCACACGCATCCACACTAACTTCGCTTCTTCCTCACATTTATTTGCACTAACTTCACTTCTTCCTCACACTTATTTGACGCATTCGCACTAACTTCACTTCTTCCACACACGCATTCGCACTAACTTCGCTTCTTCCTCACAAGCATCCACACTAACTTCACTTCTCCCTCACACGCATCCACACTAACTTCACCCGTCCTTCTTACAGAGAAGCAGCGGACCCCAACCTCGAGAGCTTGGCTGAGGCGACGGGAGGGAAGAGCTTTACCGTGGTGGATGCCGACGACGGAGGGATGTTGGACGACGCTTTCCTGGGGTCTCTCACGTACCAGCCGGGAGAGAAGCTTACCGACACGAAAGTCCAGGTGAGTTGGGCTTTTTCCGCGCTGGCTCTTTCTCTTGTCTTTTTTTTCACACTCCCGTTGGGTTGTTTTTGTTGGCTGTTTGTTGGTTTGTTTTAGGGTGAAGGAGGGGTCGATTTTGGCTTTTTTTTTAGCTTTTTATTTATCTGTTCGCTCTTTATCGGTCTGTCTTCTCACACTATTTCATTTAGTGTGAAGGAGGGATCGGCGTTGTGTGAGTGAGTTGGTGAGTTTGGATGAGTGTGTAAAGGGTGGGATTAACATATGCCATACTGCGATTGGAATGTCTTTTTTTTTTAGGAGGTTCTCGTCTAAAGGCGGGATGGAAGGGTGGGCGGGATGGAAGAGGTGGAAGGGGTGGGCGGGATGGGCGGGGTGAAAGGGGTGGGCGGGATGGAAGGGAACGAATCCGTAGAAGTTGTCAGGGAAGGGAAGACACCCAAGACCGCCAAGGGGAAGAAGAACAAGAAATAAGGGAAGCAGGGTAAAGACACCGCAGCAAGAATGACTGAGACACCCAAGTAATAGGCTAAAAAGACCGCCAAAGAAGGCAAGCCAACTGACTAATAGGCCTAAAACACCGTCAAGAAAGGGAAGAAATAAGGGAAGCAGGGTAAAGAGACCGCAGCAGAAAAGCATGAAGTTTTCTACCCTGTCCCATTTATGTAGACTGTTAACTTCACAGCTGCTCGCTCAGCTCGAGCGCAACCTTGATGTTGAAGTCAAAGTTCCTAAACACTTTTCCGGTGACCTGCACTTGCTGGGTGCCCTGGGTTCGTTTTAGGGAAATTCAGTTGCGGGTGGTCGTTCTAGGGTAATTTAGGCCTAGGGGTTGGTTACAGGTGAAGTTAGTTCTGGGGGGACGTTTTAGGGTAAGTTAGGTTGGGGGGTCGTGTTGGGATAGTCAGGTCTAGGAGGGTCCGTTCTTGGGAAAATCAGTTCTTGTTCATTCTAGGGGAAGTCAAGGTTCAAGTTACTTCCAGGTGGCCCTTTTAGGAGAAGTCGGTTCCCTTATAGCGACCCCCACCATCACCATTCCCCAACACCCACGTCTCTACCCATTACCAGATCTACGAGTACGACTACGAGGGCAAGCAAACGCTCCTCAACGAGACCTTCTCCGTGGACGCCTCCGTCGGCCGCGACCTGGAGTTCCGCCTCGACGCCAGCGACGCCAGCCACGTCACGTCGGCGCCCGTGCTTCGTCGGCCCAACGGCACCGAGGTCGCGGCGCCAGCCTCGACGCCGGGATCAGCATGTGGACCATAAGCGTGCCGCTGGCGGAGGTCGGTCGGGGGGCTGAGGACGGCTTGGGCTTACGGCACACACACTCTACACACACACACACACACACACACACACACACACACACACACACACACACACACACACACACACACACACAACACACACACACAACACACACACACACACACACACACACACAACACACACACACACACACACACACCACACACACACACACACACACACACACACAACACACACACACACACACACACAACATTACACACACACACACACACACACACACACACACACACACACACACACACACACACACACCACACCACACACACACACACACCACACACACACACACACATACTACATACACACACACACTTAATACAGTTACACACATCACACACCATCATAACATACAAACACACACACTAAATACATACAACCCAACCACTAAACCACACACTCACACACACATCCACACCAACCACTTACAATACATAACACAACACACAATACATTACATTACACACACACACACCACATAACATAACACACACACCCACTACTACATACACACACAAGCACACACACTAATACATACACACCACACACCATACATACATTACACACACACCACACACACACTACATACACACACACACACACACTACATACCACCACACCAAACACACACACTAAATACATTACACACACCACTACATTACATTACAACACACACAGCATACCATACATACACACACACACAC